AGCATCCTTATAGCATCGCATAAGGATGCTGTTTCTACACTTTAACATTAACCTACCCCACCACTACTACCTAACACACACACCATTAACCATCGCAGTTTATAAAGTCAAACAATTACTCAGATTTGATGAGAGTTTTTATATTTTTTATAATATAACTCTGTTGAGGTCTATTTTCTAAGTATTTGTTTGCTTCTTGTGTTACTATCTCAAAAAAATCTCACGGCATGTTCCGAAGGGTAGATCAATTTGTTTTCTTTTATACTTTTAAATTCTTTAAAGTAAATCCAATTATTGATAGAATTTTTATCATAATTGGATTCCCTATTTGTTAAATCAGCTTCACATTGCCGACAATTTTTTTTTGTATATTTCTTATGACCCACCCAGCGGTATATGCACGTGAGTGAACATTTATTTTTTCATGCTTTGCTGAACTTTCACTTTCTACCCAACTCGATAGCTCAGAGGACTCAAATGAATGGATTTGCTCAGTATTATCACATTTTTCTTTTGTACAAAATAATGATTTTAATTGTTCACCAGAATCCTCTTCACAATTATAACTATCTGAGTGGAACTTTATGAACCTTGTAATTAACAGTGATCTAAAGGTGCTTTTGAATGTTTGGCAATTTGGATTCGTATTTCTAAAATTGTACGCACGCATTTGTCCAAAAAAGTAGTTTAAATACCGCGGGCGCAAAACTTTAATATTTTTTGCCTTAGATATTGCCATAATCTCTGGTAACTTTTGAGAGTTGTTTCCAGTTTTTTAATGAAGGCACAGATGTTTCTTTACCTTGATTATCTATAAATTTTATGCTTTGCAGTTTTAGGATTGCTTCCCTCCAAAATTTGTGATGTGAGGATTTTTCCATTACTGCCTGTCTTAAAGCTTTTCCTTTGGATGTTTTATTGTATGAAGTTCCATTAACTGAGTCAAAGAGGTCGTCGAAGAACGATATAATTTCGGCTGTATTTTTCAAAGTCGAGCTTACTTGCTTTCCATCTACATAATGAGCTAAAAAAATTAGGCCACATATAGAATTTGTTCAATTCAATTTTAATTTATTTCAAAAAAGTTTAAATTTAGCTTTGACTTTCCAGCAAGCTTAAAATATTATGCCAAATTTAGCTTAGGAACTTACAAAACTGAGCAGTATATGATAACGTAGCAGCTACTGTCTTGCTAAACACTCTAGTGCAATTTTTAACCTGAAATATAAATAAATCCGAACGATCAACAATGGCCGCTACGCAAGAAAATGTTAAAAAAATCGAAGAAATTGTTAAGTTAGATCCAATATAAAAAAAAAAAAAAAAAAAAAAAAAACAAAAAAAAAAAAACCCCCAAAATCCAAAAAAAAAACGAAAAGATTTTCCCCTTTTTATTCACTTTAAAAAAGAACTTGAAACCTTTTTTTTCACGGGAATTAACCAACTTGTAAAATGCAATTCAAGGTTTATTAGCTTAAAAGGCGATTAGTTTGAAAAATAAATACAAATTACATATACTTATCCTGAAGTTTCATACGTTTCCAAAATCGTATTGATCAACCTAGTAGTCTGCCTCGTTACCGGTAAAAATGGTCACCGGGTCTCTACGCTCGTACAACCTACAGCAGTATTTAGCTGCTATTTAACACTGGTATATTTAGGCTGTGTGAGCAAAGTTCTTTCCCGGTAGAGCTGTTCGTGCTGGAACCTTAATCCAAGCAGCAACTTGGCTCAATAATTTTCATGTTTGAAGATAGAAGTTTAGAGATGTCATAGACCGCCCCCGCCGTATGTAAATAGTGGTAACTAAGAATTTTTCTTATCAAGCGTTTAATATTGCTACTCATTTTTATATATAAATTTGCAAGTGCTGATTCAGAACGTGTAAATGCGGTGGAATATCCATTACCCCATGTCATCTGGTGAGTGTCTTAAGAGGCGATAGACGGAAACAAACAGAGAACTGATGGAAAGCGGCGTCTTCCTATTAACAGACGTGACAAATTTGGCAATATAATGAGGCAATCTCCCCGCGGAGAGGCCTGTGTTCAACAGTAGACAGTGTTTTTACGTGGTAGAGCCATGCTGCAGTTATATTAGTACATAGTATAGTTGTAGCACGAATGGGTCGGAAATTCTCAACCGGGGAAGGACCACGCTCTCACAGAATACCAGCGTAAAATAGTAGCTTAAAGCTGCTGTGTTTCGTATGGTTAGTGTAGAGAACCGGAGACCCTTTTTACTGGAAACGAGGCATTCCATCTAATTCCTCACGGGTGACAACGCATCTGCATTTTGTTTCGTAATTGAGGTGAACTGTGTGCTCGTTTGTCACCATATCCTATAAAAAAAGACTTCTCACAGACCACAACAGTAACGGTAACAGTAAAAGCTAACTTTTCTCATTTTTTAATTAAAAAAAGAGTGTGCAGTCCATCTCATAATATATGGTCACTCTACACAATAAACAACTATAATCGATACAAAACAAAGATAAAAAATATTACTATAGATGTGATAACACTATAATTATGCTCACTTTTATACCATTGAAACAAAAACACAATAACTTATACAGTAGTGACTGTAATGATGCACAATTCTTGAACTAAGAAGAAATTGTCTATTTATATAAAAAATGTCTGAAGCTCCTATTCTCCATATGTACTTCCTTCTGAAATGAAATGAATGATTTTTTATTCAATTTAGATTATTGTATAATACTTATTGAAATCCATTTTTTTAATTTACCACTGGTTTGCAAGAAATCCTCTGTCCTGAGAAGAATCAGCAAGAAACCCAGCGGGACTTTTCTTTTAAACATATTTAAATTTACAATAAATTTATTTTTGTATGAATTTTTATAGAACCAGCATGGTGGCGATCACCTCATTCCAAGGGGTTATTTTCATTTATGTATTCATTTATATTATAATAACCTTTTTTGTACAATTTTTCTTTAATAAAACATTTAAACTTGTATAATGACAAATTGTGTACACTTTCTGGGATTTTGTTGTAAAAGCAAAAATATTCTGGATTCTATAAGGTTTTGGATAACGGCCATACTGATTAAAGCGTTGATCAACGCAACCAACTGGCATGTATTGGTTGAATGACTTATCCATACCACACTAGGTAGACGGTTTGGTAAGCGGATATCTGTTTATTTAGAATCTGGTGTTTTTGAAATAAAACCAAGATACCGTGTGGTCGTGGCGTAGCGAAACCATGATATTTCGTCCCGTCGGTATCATAAAGGGAGACAATGGATAATATATGTCACCAAAACAAAGTTTCTGCCTCGGCGACCAGTCCCAGGAGACTATCCATCTGCGCAGGTCAAAAATACAGTGCACAGGTACATTCTCTATTCCCTTCTCATGGTCCGATAGAACGGGGATCCAAGAGGTTTCCAGAAATAGAGAGAGGACCAAGCTGGACTGAGGTGCTTTTCGAGGTACAAGAATGATACACCGCCAACTTCTTGACTCTGGGCTACTACTGAAAATTTAACCAAGCTCTCAGGTGTTCCGGAAATGACGTTGCCACAATCGGTTTTCAATATCGACAGTCGGCTCTTTCCGGTAGATCGATGACTATCAAAGACTTTTAAGACTTGGTTACAGTAAAATGCACCTTCAATACCAGCTGAGTTAAGTTGCGTAAGTCTCGCCGTATTTGGAAGTCTGCCTATTAAGTGGCCATTATGTTATCTTCTCCAACAGCAGCTTCATATTCAGTCTAACAACCAAGAGATTAAGAGTTTGATCGTAGAGTTTTTGGCATCTTCTGCAATGGGGCACTGAAAACTATTTCTTTTATTCAAGCTGAAAATTTTCAGGGCTTTGGATAAGAACACGAAGGGGACGGAATGTTGCGTCCATTAAACGTGACCTCTCCTGACCTCATCATTCGGTGATACTGCTAGTTTTCACCAATGTCATGAGGAAGCAATATTCCAAATTTCCTTACATTCAGCTCGCCATCCCTCTTAGTGCATAGTTTTGCATCAATGCAAAACATTGAGCAAAACAATGAAACAAATAAATTGATTCGAATCGACTTTACAAACTCAGTGAAATAATACAAATTTACTACTCTATTTAAACTAATGTTTAATTTCCAGGAATACGGTTATATTAAATTCAGGTGGTTTTGAATACATCACTAACTTCTTGCGCAGCTGCTTCTAGTTACAGAGCTTGATAAAATTTGTTACTGGTGCATTATGTCCGGTTTAATAGAAATTATTCCTGACATTTTGATTATATTATAATTTTGTATCCAATCTTGATCTAAAACAGCAATTTTAAATTATTACGATTATTTTGTCAAATTCAATCAATGGGTGTTACAAGCAATGCAGTACGCGTTTAATTTATTTATTCTTATATAATATTTAATATTATTCGGTACTAGAATCGTCTGTGAAGTAAAAATAAATCCTAAGATTTATTCAAAAAGTAACGGTAGTACTTACATCAGGTACTTACCCAATTGTAACGTCAAAATACATCTCGTGTTGACATTTATACATGTGAATTGACGTGTTAGTGACACTTTAGTGGCTACATGGGCCCTGCCCACTCACCCGTTCTATTGTGTATGTATTATAGTATTCTATGAAATTTTTTTGATCAGTCACGCTCACGTTAAATTTGGTTGAAACTGCGGCTGTGCTTGAAACATGGGACTTGTTTCTTTAATTCCCTGACTATAATAGAACGACAAGCGTGCTGTCAGTTGATGGGTACGTCAGCTTGGTCACCCAGAACCTACATAAAATTAATAAAGCCACAGATACGTTATCAGTTGTTAGCCTGTAATTTACCCCTTCAGTCGTAATGTAGCAAGATTATGGTGCAACTACGATTGTAATAGGGTTCTACCAACCTAAGCAAAACCAAACCAAAGTGCAAAACAAAGTTTTAAGGAACAAAGTACCAAAAGTATACTGTTCTATAAAGACTTTTAAATAAAACACAGTCGCGAAAGACTTAATCACTCATTTTAATATGAACAATAATGTCAACTGGAGTATCATCAACGTTAATAACGTTGGAGGCAGACATATTGGAATCGTTACTCGTACTTCTATCGCTAAGAGTCTTTACAAACTTTTTTACATTTTTATTTCTTTTTCTTTTCGTGTTCTTTTTCTTGATTTTAGGGAATCTCTTTTTCTTTACCAGTAACCGTTTGTCCTTCTCTACTTTCTTCTTCTCTACTTTCTTCCTCTCTACTTTCTTCTTCTCTATTTTTTTCTTACCTAATTTCTTTTTATTTTTTTTCACTTTTTTCTTTCGTACTTTAGGAAGCTCTTTTACTTTATTAAATTCAACAGACTCAGAAGTTCTGTTCAATGTTTGATCTGATTCCTGAAACAAATATATAACTTTACAATATACTTTACAAAGTATGAATGTTGTTATCTACTACTCAAATAGATTTCGAGATTTATAAACTGCGATCACGTTTTACCAATCACCATAAAATTTGGCAAATAATGTATTTATTTAAGACGATGCTTTGTTAAATATAAGATACAAATAAATATTGTTTCTTTCAAATATACGCAATACCTGAAGATCAAACTTCTCGTAGGTATCAATCCAATCTTGAAGTGCTCTGGTGTGATTTTTCGCCTCCACCTGCAAAATTTTAATATCGTACAAACACCCTGCTCAGTTATAAACATATTTGAAGTTTTAAATTAATAATACACTATTTGAAACGAAACCATAATTTATAAAAAAGGTCTAATAATGAAAACACGTCGCAGCCTTAAGTGTCAATTAATATTTTATTGAAACATTTAATACAATTTTAAAAATGGCGAATGTCAGCTCCGACGCGTGCTTACTATTTAAGAAGCTGTGTTATCATCATCAAAATTATTATCATCATTATCATTACAGCCTGTCAAAGTACCACCATCACCACTGATAAATATAGGCCTCCCCAGAGATTTTCTCATATAGGGAATACTTTTTTGGAGTTGTCAAGCTTTTTTATAGAATAAGGGTGACAAACGAGCACACAGTCCACCTGATGGTAAGTGGATGCTGTGGCCCCAAGACATCTACATTTATCCTCGATTAAGAATCAAAACGCAGATGCGTTGTCACTCCTGAGGACTAAGACGGAATGCCGCGTTTCCAGTAAAAAAGGGTTTCTGGTTCTCTACACTCACCATACGAAACACAGCGGCATTAAGCTACTATTTGACGCTGGTATTCTGTGAGAGCGTGGTCCTTCCCCGGTCGAGCCTACCGATTTATGCTACAACTATAGACCACTACCACTTACTATTAGAACCAGATACCACAGATACACTATGTGCTCATTTGTCACCCGTATACTATAAAAAATTTAAAATATTTATTTTTCTTACTATCTAAAATCTTTCTAATTCGTAAAAGATTTTGAGAAATCTCAAAAATAAAAATTACGAAAAACTATTTTTTTTTTATTTGGAATAACTTTTAAACGGCCAATCGATTTAAAACGCTTATCAGCTCTTAACCTCAAAAAATGACGTCGAATGCCGTTTGGAAAATCAAAATCGGTTCATTTGTTTGTGAGATATCGCAGGGGAAATAATTTAAAAAATCGTTTTTTTTAACACAACTTCGAGATTTCGCAACATAATTTGGTGTAATTTGGAGCGCTTTGCAATTGAAATTAGCGGGAAGTTCCAGGGATGGCCTGCTGGAAGGGGCAAACCACAGAAATCTAAATATTGCCTTATTATTTAGATTTCTGTGGGGCAAATGGATATGCAGCGCACCTGATGATGAGTGATTACTCTTTTCTTGAAGGTCCGTAAGTAATATCGGTCCGAAATAATCGCTAATTTTATTGTGAATTTGAATTTTGTCAAAAGGAACTATGTACGGTGTATCATTGAATAAATTTTCTGTGATGCCGTCTGAACATGCCATTTCCCAGTTAAATGTGTCTGAATATAACATGGCAACATCAGAGCATAGATAACTTTTAACGTTCTAATACAGCACGTACAAATTAATCTCAATTTGCAAGTTTAAAGTAATAGGCAGGCAGAGACGTAATTGCCTGTGACAGCAACTAAGGGTTTCAATTATTCCCAATTTTGCATAGGCTCTGAGACAAATTGTGAGGAATCATTAAAGCTCCGACTACAGAAGCCGTTATGTGGAAATTTATTTTATTATTTATAGTTCTACGAAGTCATCTTTTACGTTTGATTTAAATATTTAACTTTTTACCATTTTGAATGAATTAAGGAAAATCACAAGATCGAGAATATATCACTAGGCAAAGTTGTAACAATGTTGTCTAATTACATTTTAAAAAACTTCCTATTTTTCACTAAAAAGGTTTTAATGATGAGATGAATGATTTGATTTAAATTATATTGTCAATACTCTTCTCTAGGTAGCCTCGTACCGGTAGGTTAAGTGAAGGGCCAATGGTGCAAGTGGCTCAGGACCGTGCTTTGTGGCGTGGGGAGGCCTAAGTTCAGCAGTGAAGAACTTGCGAAGGGTTCCAATGATGATGGTGATGATGATCTTAATATTTAAATATAAGCGGTAAACATTTGCAAGAATAAGATAGTTTTTTTTTTAAATGTTTTCTCTTTAAATGTTTTTAAAATATTGTAAGTATGTACATCTTTCTATGCTTAAACAGATATCATAGGTTTACCGCATGATTTTCAGTAATTTAATGTGTGATATTCTGGTACCATAAAAGACACAGCAGCTAGCAGCAATGCATAAATTTTTAATGGAGTTTCAAAATCGAGAAGTTTCAAGAAATGACTCGTATAATTTTTTATCTATGTTCATTGATTTCTCACGACCGGTGACCGATTTTAATAATTCTTCCTTTTTAAAGAGCGGTGATCACTTATAAATTAAAAAAAAAACACCTTTTAGAGTTTACGGGATTTATATGACATTCTAGTCGTTAAAATAAAACCGACTTCAATAGCAAATAAGAATAACTACGACATTATAGTTTCTAAAGTCGTTCGTCGACATGCCATAACGTAGCACCGTCTTAAGAAAATGGAAATTATTTTTTTTTTATTTTTGAAAAATTATTATTGGGTTATTCACATGCTTTAAATTTTTTCCTTGTTGAGAATAATAAAAAAATACTTTAAATTATTTTTATTGAATCCTCAATACAATATTAAAAACCTAATCGAAATACATTAAAGAGAATTCTTACCTGATTGGTTTTACTCTCAAATTTAAAATACAAAATAATTAACAATAACTGCCAGCAGCTACATTTCAAATTCATTGCTCATGCAAATAATATACTGCAATAACTGTATCGCGTACCGATATAAGGTATAATCTCGTTATCGCATTGGTTTAACAAATATTTTGGCCTTTTACTGAATATGTTGTTGTACTAACGTTCACGTGTTCATAAATATCGCAGTAAGAGATAACGTGCGTGGTTTACCACGTGTTAATCCTGTAAAATAAATTGCAAAAACTTTACCTGTTGACTTTTATTCTTAATACTGTGGATGTTCTTTTTATGAACTTACCAATATCGAAACGCATTCGTGCTTTATTCATATAGCGACGCTGTAAGTCGGATTAACTATCCTCAATCATGCGGTGTCGTAACAGGTGACAGAGGGAAAACGAAACAAATAATATACATTGTGCAGCAACATTTTCTTGATTGCAAATTAATGGTTCTACTAACTAAATATTTCGGTTGACACCTGGCACGCAAAGCATCTGTGGCAAATATCCCTCAATATGAGAAGACCTATGTTTGGCTATGGACTTTTAAGGAGATATAATAAATAATTAAAAATTAATGAAAATCCAAATTCACTTCTGAATAAAGCAGACATCATGATTACTTTTTCTAACTTTGAGTAATAGAAGAGAATAGAATCATTTTTATTCAATATTAATTACTTTTAATTCCCATTAAAAGTCATTAGTTACTTTTACTAAAGTCGAAAGTCAGCAGAATATTAAGGAGCAGTGGAGCACAGTACAAGTCATTTTTTTACCATTGTGACAAACCTAAAATTCACCCCCTACCCCACTGTAACCATGGTCACCATAGCCAGGAATAGCTGGGCCGCCGGGGACTGAGGGCCGTTTATTTATGTCGTTGCTCATGGGGAATATCGCCATACATGCCACATATGCCGAGCGGGTAGGCAACTGCAGTTTTTAAAAGTTATTTTGCTGTTATCAGAAATATGTTGCTATCCATCTTCCAAAACCTTCAGAAAAACCTCTGTTCCGGGAAGAACCAGCAAGAAACCCGGTGGGACTTTTTTTAAAAGCATAACTTACAGTATAATATTTATACAATTTTTATGAAAACATTTAGAAATAGCATGGTAGCGATCACCTCATTCCCAGGGGTTATAATCAATCATGTACTATTTAGTAGTATAATAACTTTAACTAAACAATTTTACCCTAATAAATAATTTAAACCTTTTGATAGATAAGGTCTGCATATTTTCTGGGACTTTGTTGCAAAAACGTATATATTGCCCTATGAAGGAATTACTGACTCTGGAGTCGAGCCCACTGGTGTAACTAACTTGCGCTTGTTCCTGGTACTAACAGAATGTATCTTACTATTTTTAATCAAACTATTTTTGTTTTTTGTACATACATTAAATGTTCGTAAATATATTGAGAGGCCAAAGTTAACATTTCTTTAATTTTTTTTCTAAGGGCCATTGTCCATCAAAATCTGCTGCCTTTTCTACTTCATCAATTTCTGTAATTCACTGCTAAATATAATACTATGTCATTTTAAAAATGGCGCCAATATGTCATGGAGATTTGTCACGTGCTCGAGCTATTATAGTGGAAATAATAAACTTAGTTACGGTCTGAACGAATTGCCGTAATATTTTCAACAAAATGCCAACTACGTCAAAGGTTTTTTTTTAATATAGAAGAGGGGGCAAACGAGCATGCGGCTCACCCCGGTAAGTGACTACCGCCGCCCATGAACAACCGCCACACCAGGGGAATTACAGCTGCGTTGCCGGCCTTTTAGAAAGGAGTGAGCTCTTTTTTGGAAGGTCCCTTAATCGTATCGGTCCGTCAAACGTGAGACGCTGAGAGGTCCTTGTCCAAAAATTTAGCTTTAATGACTGGATGAAGAATAAAGAAAAGATGCTGTGTGATTGGACTTCTTTTCTGCCTGGAATCCATCCAGATAGATACCACTTTCTTACCTAACTCTACCAGTAAATAGCAGTGCTCGCACTGCAATACTCCAGTCTGAAGGTTATAAAAGACCATTAAATTACAAGTTGTGAGGCATTTCATCTTAGGCTGAGATCTTTAGAGCGTACTTTGATTTTGCTCAGACTTTACTTTCGAGCTGAGACAATGTCGATATTTATAGCGGCTAACTTCGAAATCGTGCTGAGTGCGCGCTTGGCAAAGCTAAGCTCCCTTACGAAAAACTCAGGAAATTAACCAAAATCACCGTATTAATTTTTAATTGTTGTTTTTATTTTACTTTCGTTATTTATAACAATAAATAGGTAGTTTTAAATAGCATACCATTTTCTATTTACGTAATATCAAACTTATTTAGAATTTCTTAAAATCTTCATTTTTATTTGTGATTTTTGCACTCATCTTATCCGTTTCCTTCCATGTTAGCAAAAAAATATTATTATTCTCAATTCTCCATACATATCCTCCATTCTTGAACGAATTAAGCCTCCATTATATCACAATGACCTTAAACTAAACTGAGTTACAGAAAAGCCCAAAGAATGTTGATAATAAATAAAGGTATGATTGGGAGTTCAAGTTCCAAAGCCAGTCGTAATTAAAAGATCAGGCATTTGAAATACAAATAAAAATTCAAATGCACACAATATCAATAAACCAAAAGTTCCGTCTTTGAAACAGTCATTTAACAGCGCTTGACCGGCTGACCAAACGTTCGCTTTCTATCCAGTATTTTAAACTAAAGTTACAGCCTATATACGTCCCACTACAGGGAACAGGCCTCCCTTCATTTCTGAGAAGGTTTTAGGGCAAGGAAGTGTGTCCGCCGCCCTGCCCCAATGCATGTTGGCGAACTTCACATGTCTTCGAAATATTGTTTCTTATTCCTCAGACATGTAGGTTTCTTCACGATGTTTTCCTTCACCGCCGAACACATGGTAAATCGCGCACTCAAAATTGCAATTAACAATTTTATTGGTGCCGGCGGGGATCGAACCCGGTTTGTTCGCGTACTGTGATATTAACAGCGAGCGTTAACCATCTGATCTACCAGGTCTCTCTATTTTAAACTAAAATTAGTTAAATTTAAAATTAGTAAAATTAAAAAAGAACTTATTTATGAAATATAATTGAGATTGGTTTCGATTTTTGAATTTCACAAGCTTAGCATAATCTTAACTCGATTCAATTATAGATTCAGAATCAAAGGTTACGCTAAGCATATACTCAGCTAAATTTTTCGTAAGTAAAGTCTGAGCAAAGTCGAAGTAGCGTAGTCTATAGATCTCAGACTTAGTCCTCAGAGGTGACAACGCATATGTAGCCTTTCTTTTATGAAGTTGGTTATGAAGTTCCATAAACTGCAGTAACCACTTACCATCAGGTGGAGTGTAACTTCAATTGTCAATTTAGTTTTTATAAAATTAAATAAATTCAGCGATTCAAACATGTATTAGATGTTTCAGCATCCGAACAAACATACGTAACTATTTCTAGTATAACTTCGTTTCAAGATATGATTTATACTTTTGGTTTTTCCTACCGAGTTTCAAATGCGTATAACTTTACAGTTCTCTTATTATTCGTAACTGGATTATTCAACCAGCTAGTAGTTCTGAGGGAGACAGTAACAGCGCACACAAGAGTCCTCATTAATGAGCGGCAAACTGTTGCTCTTCTGAACTTCTGATACTGTATACGAAACCCGACAACATAATTTGCGTATTATCCTAAGCATCTAGATATCGAACTATAGTGATAATAATGGAGAAATTCTCTCCAATGTCCTGTGCACTCCTCGAGATTATATGATAAATCATGTTCTGTTCTTGAAAAAAGACTTTGGAACTCCTTATAACCTAAAATTTAAATTGTAGCACGAATGGGTCGGCTCGACCGGGGAAGGACCACGTCGTTACAGAATACCAGCGTAAAATAGCAGCTTAATGCTACTGTGTTTCTTATGGTGAGTGTAAAGAACCGTTTTACTGGAATCGAGGCATTCCATCTTAGTTCTCAGGGATGACAACGCATCTGCATATTGATTCCTAAACGAGTTAAATGTAGATGTCTATGGGCCATAGCATCTACTTACCATCGGGTGGACTGTGTGAAAAAAAGCTAAGAAACTTTTTTTGTCTCTCGAAGCCTCTTTCTCCTCTATAGTGCATAAGTTCGTACCTATTCTTATTTTAGTGCACCCTACCCGTAATTCTTTTTCTTATTTTTTAATTAATTCTTCTATTGGGTTGTCTGAAAGAGATTACTATGTAACAATAAAACAACCTTTCGTTTTTCCCTCAATACTTGTTTATTTTATTTATTTATTTTTATCTCTCCCTGGTATACCATATAAACTATTATATGGTATATGGTATACCAGGGAGATGTATTGTATTGTATTGAGGTGATCAATGCTTAACTTTCCCTCTCATTCTGGAGTATTCACGTTTGCATAACTTTAAACGGGCTGAAGAAATCTGTCATCATCTCACAACGAGGTACGACCACACCGAGGTTCGTTTTCCAGCTTGTAATTCCTCTTTTTAATTTAGCTAAACCAATTATACACTGTTTTTTGACTTATGTCATCTTAATCAATATTTTGCATCTTCATTTGGTATATGCACTATCACTAAAACGAAATTTGTAAAAGTATGCAACAAGTTTTGTATGTGTAAGTTTATATCAAGCGTAAATTTAAAATTCTTGGCCATTACCGTGCAAAATTGAAATTACTTATGCCATAACAATAACAATTTAAAACAAATTGTGCGTGTTATTGTGTACACACGTTAAATAAACACCGTTACAACATATCATTGTCCTTTTTTCATACTTTACATAAGTAAATTAAATAATAGTATATTCCTGCGGTTGGAACGTTACAAGAAAAAGCGATTTTTTTTAAATCCATACTAAATTTCTCCACTACGTCGATAAAGAAGTTTCACTTGAATAAAGTCTTAGCAGCTCCAAACCTGTAATGGTGAAAAAATCCATCGCTCCATTGTTCCTGTGAGTGTCGCCAAAGGCGGCAAAATTATAAGAAATGCCAGTAAATATCATGGCTAGCTATAATCCGATAGATAGCGATATAACCAAATACTAAGGCAATTTTCAACCGACCTCAAGAAAAGAGGAGATTTTCAATTTGACTATATATTATTTTATTCGTGCGTGGGTGAACCGAATTTGATGATTATTTTAGCTGGTGCTTCTCATGTGGTCCCATATAAATCAAGTTCTTACCAGTAGCTTTTGAGTTATCCCTTATAATGCGTATTTAATTATAATAACTTCGACTACATTATAATAATAATAAT